CTCTCTCTCTCTCTCTCTCTCTCTCTCTCTCTCTCTCTCTCTCGGTGCTGGTCTTGGGGCTGGGCCTGGGCCTTTCCCTGAGCTTTTTCATTCAAGGCTAATGCTCTACCACTTGAGCCACAGTTCCATTTCCAGCATTTTTGATAGTTAATTGGTGATAGGAGTCTCATGGACTTTTCTGCTTGGGCTGGCTTGGAACCACAATCCTCACATCTCAGCCTCTTGAGTAGCTAGGATTAGGGGTGAGCCACCAGCGCCCAGCCCAATGTTCTCTTTTTATTCTTTAATATAAAAGGTTCGTGCCTCTCTGAGCACCCTTCCACGTCCTGATCATGCTCATGTGTAGGGGCATGAACTCCTTGTGAAGGCCAAACTTCTACAATCCTCCCCACCAGGCCATTCCTCTGACTTCTAGAAGGCTCTCCAAATCTTGCACGACTCTTTTCGTTTCACTTGATTTAATCTCATCAGATTAGCCAGTTCTCACTACTATGCACAACTAACACCTGTTGTGTAATTGCTTTCTCTGAAATTCCTGCTGTGAACAGGTCTCAGGTGGCTTTGTAAAATGGAAGTCAGAGGTGAGCTAATGGCTTGTTTCTGCCTTACCAGGCTGCATAGTCCGGCCGCTCGCATTTCCTCACTGGCTGAGACTTAAGTGATGGACGATGTCCCAGGGATTGTACAAAACCTTCTTCCAACACAGTTGTCTTGAGTATCTCAAGTAGGATGCCTGCTGAAAGTGCTTCCCAAATGTTTATTGGCTCCGACACAGCAGAAGGTTGGCTCCTAGTTGTGGGAGGTCTTTGCTGCACACAGCTCTTTCAAGATTCTGGCTGGCTGAGGAGCTGCCATCTTCCATGCTGCCTCTACTGTCTTCGTGCGTGAAACTGAGGCAGCGGTTTGACAAACAAGCAAGCACAAGAGGGAAGATAAAGGAGGAAAAGGAGCAAGGAATGAAAGAGAGGCTGGGCGCCAGTGGCTCACGCCTGTGATCCTAGCTACTCAGGAGGCTGAGACCTGAGGATCATGGTTCAAAGCCAGCCTGGGCAGGAAAGTCCATAAGAGTCTTATTCCCATTATGGCACCAGAAAACTGGAAGTGGCTCTGTAGTTTCAGTGGCAGAGCACTGGCTTTGAGCTGAAAAGCTGAGGGACAGCACCCAGGCTTAGAGTTCAAGCCCCAGAACCGACAAAAATAAGGAGGAAGCAGTGTGAGACAAATCATCTTTTCTATGAAAGTAGTCTGCTTCCTTGCTGTTAATCTTGAGAGGATTTTCTGAATGGTCCCTGCTTTTGGTCAGGTGGTTTGGCTCTGCAGAGACAGACAGAGGGACTCTAATCTTAAGGTAGTCCTTGAGTCTCAGAAAAGCCTGGAGCTCCTGACAACCACAGTATGAGTCAGGCGATCTCCAGGGAAACGGGCATCGCTGGAAAGAACCTAAGATAAGCAGAACAAAGACCTCTTGCATTTCAAACCCAAAGCAAGAACAGCCAGATGGCACCAACAAAATGCTATGTCTACACTATCAAGGGTCAACCAATCATGTGTAGGCCTAAATGAAATTCCCAAGCTTGCTCACAGTGTTTTATGAAAGCTGTGAAAAAACAAGAGGTCTTGGCCTTCCTGCGTCACCAGCTGCGACTGTGCACTCGGAGGTCCAGGCCGGGCTTGCAATAAACAACTCTTTTGCTTTTGCATTATTCCAGTCTCCGGTGGTCTTTGGGGGCCCCTCTCTGGGCACTTCAGCTCTTGTTTATTACATGTTAATTACATACATCCTTTTCCTGAGCATCTTGATTAAGACATCCTGGTAGAAGCTCCTTGGATTTTAGTTGCATCCTGTTCTTTAAGCTGTATCCTTTTGCAGATTGCAAACCTGAGGTCAGCCAATGGGAGTAGAGGGCGGGGGCCTGAGGGCTAGCTGCTCTGTGTGCTTGCTTGCCAGGGTTTTGGAGGAAGTAAAGTTTGCCTTGCAGAGTACCTTTCCTGTTGGTGTTTTTATTCTTACCTGGCACTGGAGCTATTCCTAACAGCCAGGTTAAGCAGAGACATCCAATGTGAGTGAGGTGTTCTTGGTCTCTGGAACTAGTGACAGGAGCAGCATTAAAGTCACATGAATTCAACAGATAGACAAAGATAATATTGTGAAGTTCTGAGGTGTGTGTGTGTGTGTGTGTGTGTGTGTATACATGCATGTCTGTCCTAGGAGCTTGAACTCATGGCCTGGGGCCTGTCCCTGAGCTTTGTCGCACTGTTTTTTTTTGGTGACAAGTGAGATATAAGAATCTTACAGGGGCTGGGAAGGTGGCTCAGTGGTAGAGTGCTTGCCTTGCATGCATGAGGCCCTGGGTTCGATTCCTCAGTACCACATAAGCAGAAAAAGCTGGAAGTGGCGCTGTGGCTCAAGTGGTAGAGTGCTAGCCTTGAGCTGAAGAGCTGAGGGACAGTGCCCAGGCCCAGAGTTCAGGCCCCATGACTGGCAAAAAAAAAAAAGAATCCTGCAGACTTTCCTGCCTGAGCTGGCTTTGAACTGCAATTCTCAGATCTCAGCCTCTTGAGTAGATAGGACTACACAGGTGAACCATTAGGGCCTGATCCAAAGCAGGTTCTGGTTCCATCATGAGATTTTTTTTTCTGGTTTACTCCATTATTACACTGAAACTAACCTGAGAACACCAAACACTAAAGACTTGTGCTGTACTTCATTACAAGAGATGATTTTGCCTGGTGCAGGTGTTTCACCCCTGTAATCGGAGCTACTCAGGAGGCTGAGATCTGAGGATTGTGGTTCAAAGTCCATGAAACTTTTGTCTCTAATTAACTACTAAAAAAAATTAAAAAGCCAGAAGTGGAACTAGCCTTGAGCAAAAAAGCACACACACACACACAATACTTATGAGTTGTGGAATAGATAAAAGAAGTTAGGTCATGTGTGGCGAGGGTGGCGAGGGGAAGAGAAAACAGGGCTCAAGAATAGTACACCCTTTAAATAAACCAGGAGACATAATGTAACTTTTATAGAAAGACTGGTTATTACCAATGATAAATTATTCAATGAGAGGTTGATTAGACAATTTTACATTTTATTTAGAAAAATAAATGGGTAGGCAGGGAAGTGAAAAAAGTGGAAAAGAAATATGACATTATGTTTGCAGAACAGTGAGTATTGGATTGTTTTTTTCCTCCTAACTGCTAGAGGTCCCCAGGGGAAAAAGGAAATGGGTTATGGTAACAAATGAGTGAGCTGAAACTGATGATTGCTCTAGCTTGTCTCCTGAATTTCAAAAATGATTTTTAGGCCTGGGAAGGGGGCTCAGTGGTAGAGCGCTTGCCTCACACTCATGAGACCCTGCGGTTAATTCCTCAGCACCACTTAAGCAGAAAAAAAGCCGGAAGTGGTGCTGTGGCTCAAGTGGTGGAGCGCTAGCCTTGAGCTGAAGAGCTGAGGGACAGCGCCCAGGCCCAGAGTTCAGACCCCATGACCGAAAAAAAAATTGGTTTTGAAATCCTTCTCAAGATGAGCCTTTTCTGTATGTCCCAGCTTGCCCTGGAAAAGCAAGTTAAAAACATTATCAACTATTGTTCAATTAACCTAGAAGCTCCGTGTTTCAGATAATCCAGAGCCTTCTTAGACTGTAACAAAGGGTAAGTGAGAGTTAGTTCAGATATGGAGAATTTCTGTTCCCTGATGTTTATTTTTCTTTATGGGACAGAGAAGCAAAAATAGCTCTGCAGTTCAATATCCTTTATCCGAAATGCTTAGGATCCCCATGTTTTGGATTTCAGATTATGGAACATTTTCATATGCAGAACGAGAAACCTTGGAGATGGGATCAAAACATCAGCACGAATCCAATTATGTTGATGTACATCTTCCACAAACAGCCTGAAGGCAATCTTATGCATAATGCATAATATTTTATGCATGAAACAAAGCCCACATGTGGATCATGTTGGTGCTCCAAAAGGTTTCAAATTTTAGAGCATTTTGGGTTTTGGATTTTCAGATTAGGGAAACAATTCAATCTTTATATTGCAATCTAATTCTTGATGATAAATTTATCAGTTTAGTGGGATTTTGTTGCTGCTGTTATTTTTGAGACAAAGTCTCATTCTCTTACTGTACAGTCCAATGTGGCCTGAATTTTCTATCTTCCTGCCCTTGCTTCCTGCCCAAGTGCCAAGATTATGGGTATATACCACCACAATCAGCTCAATATTAAAAATACTCTCATTACTTGATTTTTAAACAAAACACACACATATAATTTGTAAAAGTATGGTAGTATAGAAATATCAAAGGCAAATTTTTAGCATCTTTCATTTTTCTTTATACTCATCCATCAGGAATCCTTGCTAATTTTTTGATATACCACTAGGGAATCAATAGATAAGAAATTCAAGATTGCTGGGCACTGGTGGCTCACACCTGTAATCTTAGCTGCTTAGGAGGCTGAGATCTAAGGATCATGGTGAGAAGCCAACCTGGGCAGGAAAATCCTTGAGACTTTTTTTAAAGCCTCTTTTTCTGGGGAATATTTTTATTATCGATTAGCTGTACAAGGAGTTGCCATTCACCACGGCAGCTTGTGAATACGGTGCATCAACATTCTCCCCAGCCTTCCCAGCCCACCCTCCCCTCTTCATTTTAGGTTATTTCATTTTTCACTATCTATAAAGCAGTTTGTGTACAATGCCTCTTGAGCTGTGACATCCCTTCAACATCTCCACCCCTCTTCGACCCACCCCTTCCCTTCCATTTCTCAATTCTGTATATATACCGTGAATTCCCGAGCATTCTCCCTGCTTCCCTTCATTCCTCTAACCTCTACCCTTGGCCCTGCCCTCCCATCTTGCAAGTTCCCATATCCGGTTGCTTATTTCATTGGGCTTTGACTTGTCTTTGTAAAAATAATTACACTATTTGCACTAGACACTTATCTCCAATTAGCCACCAAAAAGCTGGAAGGGGAAGTGTGGCTCGAAGGTAAAGTGCTAGCATTGAGCAAAACAACAACCAAAAAAGCTCAGGGAATAGCATCCAAGCCCTGAGTTCAAGCTTCAGACACACACATACCCCCCTCTCTCAAACACACACACACACACACACACACACACACACACACACACACACACACACACATACTATCTTCCTTTACAAAAGAGAAGCATTTTACGATGCACTTGCATTTCCTGTGGCAGTGAGTGCATCACAGCCTCTGTGGGTGAGACTCAACTGTCCAAAAGTGTGTGAATTCTGGGATCACAGAGTCTTACTGTTTGCAATGATACCTGGTATTCTCCACATGCACCTTAGGGCATGTGTAGGCTTGCACACAGAAAGGCAGTTGTCACCTTGTGTATAAAAAGGTGAAATACATGGTGACATAGCTTGAGGACAAAGAAATGGAGAGAGAACCACTTACTTGGAGAGATGCTTTGTGGTTCTGGAGGGCGCAGTGCAGGTCTCACAGTGACCATCTTTCCCCCTTGCTGGGGTACTTCACACCCACTTGTTTTGTCAGCTAGAAGTAGAAATGACATAGATATTATTACTGAGACCAATGAGACCCTAGAATTCTTGAATACGTGACCTGTGCAGGGAATAAGGTCATGCCTACAAGTCTTTCTCCTCAAAATAATAAGGAACAATGTCTAACAATTGTTAGAAGACATTGTTGTTACAACAAAGTTCAAAGAATAACAACTTTATGTGAGACCAGAAACTTTTTTTCTTTCTGAAAGCAATGATTTGGATACAGAACAGCAACACCAATGATGAAAAATGACAGGCTACAGATCCAAAAGACTTGGGTAATAGAGACCACTCTGGTCATGAAAGAGCTATAGTGCTAAAGACACTAAAATGAGCTAAGGATGTAAAACAGAGCCCCAAAGCCCCCCTTCAAAGTGGAAAGTGAGAAGAAATAGGCAGATTGTTAGGAGGAAAAAAAACACAAGTGAGTGGAGTGTCATGGAAAGAAGTGTAGTTTGTAGAAGGAAGATGTGGAATAACGGCTCCTGTCACCTCCCTACCCATCAGAGTCCCAAGCTCCATCACCTGCATGCGCATTAGTTCTAGGATTATTCACAGAACGCAAATGGCTCCTTCTGGCCCATGATGCAGTTGGGTATTTGCCTAGGTGCAGAGCCACCATCCATTGCATAAAATGCTTCCTCACCCTCACACCACTTGTTCTCTTTCTGCTCAGATGGTTACACAAGAGGACTCAAGGGCCTCTCTTGGAAGTTCCTTCCACACACATGCACAGCCCTCCTACCCAGATTTTTAGAGGACAGAGGTCCATGTAATATTCCTACGTAAGTTAGCACCAAAAAGATGATAATTACTCTTTTTCCACCAGCCCAAAAGAAGGTAGAAGAAACATTACCGTTATTCACCGATGGACTGCTTCCTTAAGGCATTCTTACTGTGGCCTACAAATTCTGTTTTTAACATGTTTGAGTCACTCCATAATAGTTGCAGGCAAATAATGCCAGGTTTAACTTCACTAAATGAGATGAAATCTGGATAACCCTTTTTTTAGATCTAGTTTTACCAGCTCATTTTTTGGGCCCAGAAAAAATAAGAGTAGAGCTTTGGTCTTTACCTCTGGTTGTCGGTCTGATCACATTTTCTGTACAGTAGAGATGGCGCCTCTATACCTCACAGGCCAAGCTGGCTCAGTCACAGACAGCCCCACGTCCGGACAGCCAAAGAGCCCTAACCCTCTGTGGCACCCATTTGGATATTTGTACTCCGAGTCCTTCCACCTCAGAGGCATTGTCATGGATAGAGCGCCCACAGGTGAAATGCTCCTCTACAGGCCAGTGCTTCAACTAACAAGAGGCTTGTGTCCAAGATTATAGGCTGCAGTGATTCTTCAATTAATTCCATCATAGTAAATTCCATCATAGTAAATTAACCTCATACGAGTCGATTTAAATATAGACAACCAGATATGACAGTGTTCCTGAGTCAGATTTTCCCAGCTGGGTAATACATTTACCAAGTTTCCTATAATTTATCCTTTATGTTGTTGCTGGGCTAGCATTCTGTGTCAGAATCACCGTTTCCTTCAAGATACTCAGAATCCTGAGTCTCCACCCCTTGTCAGGGTTGAGTCTGGGGTGTTGGTATGTTGTAAGCATCCACTGATTGCTCCAATGCACAGTCATCCGAGGACACCTCTGTGTCTAAAGCAGGGGACTCTGCACCAGCAGTATCAGCATCAGCATGAGGCTTGATAGAAATATACATCCTTTGGCTCCACCCCTTTTTTGCTGACTCGAGGGCCCAACCAGCCACAGCCTACCAAGCCCTCCAGATGGATCTCATGGGCACTACAGATTAGAGGTAAAAATTGTCCTAAATGTTTGTTTCAAAGAGATAAAATGGAACTACCAAAGTTTGTTTCAGTATTTGTTTATGCCAAGGTATTTTTTTGCTGTATAATGACTGTGTGAGCTGTCTTGGTTTCAGAGCCTTTTTTTCTGCATTCTTCTTGTAATCGCAAAGGCTTGACTTGGCAACAATGGTTTCAATTAGTGTCCTGAAGTTCTATATTTATTTTAAAAACTTGAGAGAATATGATTGTTTAATTACTGTTTTAAGTTTTGCCTTTGCAGGTGTTCTGTAGCAATTACAGGTGGGGCCACAGAGGGACAGATGATTCTTATAAGTTTGTTAGATGACTCTTAATAAGTTCCAGGTATGCTTAAAAACTATTTCTATTGATTTCTTTGCTACTTCAACTGGAGTGAAGGGGGCTTTTGACACACTCATGATCTGAAGACAGTGGTTCAAAGGAGCCCAGGCAGAAGTGTTCCTTTGAAATTCTCATCTCTGATTAACTGGCAGACTGCTGGAAGTGGAGTTGCACTGTGGTTCAAAATGGTAGAGCACTAGCCTTGAGCAGGAGAACTCTGGGACAGCATCTAGGCCCCAGAGTTCAGGGGAAATACCAATGGGGGCATTATCCTAGCATGAAGGAGACATTCCTGGGACAAAATGCTTGTCCTAGCTACAAAGGAGCATGCTGACAGTTCAAGGACACTGCTCAGATCAGAGGAGATTCTGGAGTCAATTATGCTTGGTTCTTCAAAATTAATCAGAACCAGGAGGACATAAGAAAATAGTTCATAAGCATGCCTATCTAATGCCCATGTCTGTTTGATTTGTAACTGGGCAGAAGCTTACACCCTTGTCAATCATCTGTTATACTTGATGGTAAAAAGCTAGGGTTGTCAAATGGGGGACAGTTTGAAGTTGACAAAAATCCAAGCTCCCAGTATCTGTTCAAAGCCCTAACTGAATTTTGGGTTGGAACAAGCCACATAAACTCATCTGTTCAGGAAAAGAAATTTGTTCCCTATAAGGCATGGACCTGAGATCATGTTCCTATTTAGAGCTTTCTGGAAACCATCACAGGTAACTGTTAGACATTGTGAGAGTCACCAAAGATCAGGTTCCCTAGGTAGCCAGGAAAATGCTTTTGCAAACCAGAACTCTAAAAAGGCTACACTACCATAGCCAAGGAAAAATCTGTGCAGTTGTTAAAGTTAAATATTGTGTGTAGTTTCCAATTTGTAGTAAAAAAAAAAAAAAGATATTGCTCCTAATGACATCTGATCTTGGCAACCCCTGGGTAAAATAGCTAGAGGCTTTAGGTCTGTGGTTAGGCAGGATCAACGCCCCTAGCTCAGTTTGAAGAAGTTATAGAAGATGGATCTTTGCCCATCACCCACCCCACTTAAGATCAAGGGATCAAAGTGATTTTTGGGAAAAATGAGGCAGGATAGATAAGAATAGGCATGAGAAAAAGTGGTATGGTTGCAGGCTCAAGCCTTCTATGTCTGCCTAGGAAATCCTAGCTTTATTGGAGGAAATCCGGTTAACAAAAATTGCCCCCCTGATACATTGCCCCAGGCTACTGCCTAAAAGCTGCCTTGAAAAGCAGTGGGGCCCCAGTCTGCCAAGCCTATGTAGTCAGAAAGAACAACCAAGAGAATACTGGGAGATTTCACTGAAGGCAGGCTCTTGCACTAGGTTAAGTTAATTTGCAGGTAACTCAGCAGGAGGTGTATAAACAGACTTGGAGAGGCTTCTGCAGCCCAGCTGCAGCCTATTCCTTCCAACCTGAAGATTCCGTTTGGGTTAAAAGTTCGTCAAGGACAGCCATCAGCCATCTGGAAGGGACTCTGCCTTGTCATCCTAATCACCCCCATGGTGGTCAAAGTAGATGGGATACCTGCCTGGCTCCATTATACCAGGCTGATTCCTGGTAGAAGGCCACTTTGGATTTGCTGAAACTAAGACTTTTGTTGTGTGGCACTCTTTCTGTGTTATATAAATTTGTAAACCTTACAAATTTCAAAGTCTCCTGACTATACCGGTACTAGTCATATAGAGCCAACAGCCAACAGAGGGAACAGCCCTAAAGGGTAGAACTAAAGGGTAGCTCTGGACAGCCTCGGGATAAACATGTTGTTTTCCAGGAAAGCCTCCTTTGTAGACTTTGATTAAAGTAACTTGGTTAGGCTCTTGGTCATTAGGGCCCAATACAGCTCTCTCACTAGGAAATCAATGATTTGATTTCATGCTCATAAAACCAGTAGGGAATGAAACAATGATACTAAATCTGAGTAATGCCATCCTGACATCTTGATAGAAGTTGAAAGAAGATAGGGACTTTCTGAGAAGTCTAGAGGTGAAAGAGACCATTCTTTGGATTGCAAATATGTCATAAGTTGTTAGGTTCCAGGAAGCTCATGCTCCCTCTAGATAACTGGGGTCCTGATGGCCCCTGAGAGTTCCCCAGGATAGTCAGTTCTGCCTGTGTACGACACTTACCAGGAATAAGGTATCTTTAGCTTGCTTTGTTTTATGTGTAACATTTTTCTTAGATTTAAGTATCCTCATGCTGTTTTCTCTAGCTATGTATAACACTTTTGTTAAGTCTGTTAAGGCTTGGTCTCCACCCCAGCATGTGGTTTTTGTCTTTGAAAGCTATGTGCTACCTCTGTTCTGGGCTGTAGGTCTTTGAGAGACAGGAGTCCACCTGCAGCCCCTGGCTTTCTCATAAAGACTCCCAATTTGACCTCTCCAAATGTGGCTTTCTCTGTTTCTCACAGCACAACACGAGGTACCTCCTGCAGTTGTGTAAAAGGCTGACCCTGACTAAAATATCACTGCTATGAAAGAGATCAAGGTTTGATTTTGCTTAGAGAAGGAAATCATCATTTTTGGAGGAGCCCAAAGCAAGCAACCATTTAACAAGCAGGCTGAGGGATCTGAATCCCTTGTGTTTTATCATGTATCAGTCATGTGGTTTGCTAAGCGGTCATGGTTTCTGTCCTAAACAGCTCGGTCCCCACATGACTCCCTTGAGACCTGTCACAGAGGTTCCAAGAAGAGCCCACCTGCTCTGCATGCATTTCCCACAAGACCAAGGACAGATCTGCATCTGAACTCACCAACCTATTCCTTTGGGCTGATGCTCAAGACCATATTGAGGTTGGCCTGTAACTGAGAGCGGATTTAAAGGAGTTCCCTTTCTAGTCCACTGACCACTTTAAAAGGTCTTTCTCCTCTCAAACATGTTCTTCTTTCCCTCCTCTGTAGCCAGCTCTGCCCATTCCTGCTTCAACCTCTATCTCCAAAGATGCCAGTGGTCTAAATCTCTACCTTGCCTCACCTACCTTTGAAGGAGATGAGGGCAGGGAAAGAGTTAGGGAAACACAGGAAAGTCACTTCCAGCAGAGACACCCAAGCCCAGGTCCACACACGCTGTCTTCCCTGCTCAACACATGCAACAAAGCTCTCCAACTGAGAATGAGCCCACACCAGGGAGAAGCAGCCATAGCATAGGCAAGACATGTGGGAAAGGCCTGAGATGTGCTGGGGGTACAGGTTGGATTCAGTACTTACATAAGAATCAATTAATGTTTGGTTATGAGACCATGTATTCTGCTGAAAGAAAGAAATGTTGATTGATAATGTGATGTTTCATTAGCCGCACATTTGAACAGACCTTTGGGCTTTTTTGTTTGGTCTGTTTGTTGGGTGATTTGTTGATTGGTGATAGGATTTCACTATAGGCCAGACTATAGCTATAGCTATAGCTCAGTGGCCCAAATATTGGGATTACAGGTATGTGCTACCACACGTGGCTTTGCAGAGACTTTATTCCAAAGAGTCAAGCTACAGCCCTCCCTTTACTTAGTTTCATATCTACTTTTCTAAGCCTATTTATGTCACTAAAGAATACAACCACATTAAATTATGTATTGGTGGCAGTTTGACCCAATATAAGTTCCAGTTTCTGTTTCCAGATACATTGTAGGGAATCCTTCTTAGCGAAGTAGAGGAAATTTGGCTCTCCTCTCCAAGATGAGCTGGAAAAATTCCACCTGTCCTTGTACTCAGTGTCTGGGGTGAAGGGGTCTTTAAATTAGGAAATAATCTCCTAACTTGGAGGAGCTATAATGGGGAATCAGACTACGGACTCACCCCAAAGCTCCCCAGTGACCATGGGAGTCTTGGGGACCAGCATTGACTAGGGTCCCAGGAACACAGGCCTGAAGATGAAGTGTGCCCAGGCCCTCAGGCCTGAACCTCCTCTTTCTACAGATAAGCATCTTTCTCCTTTCTCCAGAAGTCCAAGACCTTGCATTGACCTTGAATACCTGCCCAGTGACCTGGCCTTGGGCAATCTGGAGACTGCCTCTAGTCCTTACCTCCAGCCGTGAGCACAGAAGTCAGAGAAAACCCACCCACTGTGGACCAAGACATAACAGCCAGAGATAAGACCACAACCCCAGCCTGCTCTGCATGGCTGAGAATCTCCTGGCCCACTGTATCTATTATTCTCAGGGAAGACAGCAGGACACAAGCCTTGAGGTCTTTGTCCGGCCTCCACTCTAGGGTCCTAGCTCGATACAATTGGTACTTATGTATGGCTCATTAGCTGTTTACTGCTTGGAAAAGTACATGAACAGATGTACACAGCTGCCACTCAGAAGAGAGTCCACGGCAGCCATAAGTGACCATCTTCGATAGTTATATCTTGCGATCCTGGAACATTCTAGCTATCACTAGCAGGTCTACCAAGAAATGGAGAAGCAGGGAAGCTGGCAATAATAGCATCTCCATTTGCAGAGACTGACACAAGCGCCCGAAGCCAAAGGGCTGGGCAGGGACCCAGGGTAGAGGCCCTGTGAGAGTAGGGTCTCACAGAAAACAGGGACATCATGAGAGATAACCAATGTCATCAATGCATCCAGACTGACTTAGCCCTGGCTCTCCTGAAGCCACACAGACGTATTTGATCCTAATAAATTGATCAAATAATGTCTCTTTCTGAACTCAGTCTTGGAATCACCATGATGAAGTCAGGGGACCAGCCCCAGCCTGGTAAGGACTGTGACCTCCTGGGGTGGTAGAGATGCTCAGGGTCACCTCTGCCAGAGGCCAGGGAAACGGAAGTTCTACGTCCTGGCTTCTCTCACATGTCCAGCTTTAGGGAGGTCACTGAAGGCATAAGTGGTCTTCCCACCACCCCTGAAGTGCATACAGGGTGGAAGGCACTGGCTCATGAACAGCATGAGAATGGAATTCACCTTCCTGGGTGGTAGTGAGATTCCCCACAATCCTATGCTTGGGCCAAAAGGGCCTCTCCACAAAGGAAAGGGTTTTGCTGGTTCATGCCTGTCATCCTAGCTACTCAGGAGGCTGACGTCTGAGGATTGTCTGGTTCAAAGCCAACCCGGGCAGGAAAGTCTGTGAGACTCTTATCTCCAATGAACCACCAGGAAACGGGAAATGGTGCCATGGCTCAAAATGGTAGAGCACTTGCCTTGAGCAAAAAGGCTCAGGGGCAGTATTCAGGCTCTGAGTTCAAGCCCTACAACTAGGAAAAACAAAACACCTGGGGTTTTGTATATCAGCAGCTATAGTAGTCTACTTTGCATGCTTATTGCAAAGTGCCCAAGGTTGGGTAAATTTTCTTAAAAATAAAAGGGGTTTATTTACTGTTCTGGAAGTTGGCTTTCTTTCTAGCAGAGTCTGAGTGACATATTCCTTCAAGTATTTTTCTCTGTGTCCTAGAGTAGTTTCAAAGTTTCGGGCCTTCCATTAAGCTCTTTAATCCATTTTGAGTTGATTTCTAGGGCAAGAGATAGTGATCTACTTTCAGTCTTCTATATATGGATATTATTTTTCCAAAACCTTTTGTGGAAGAGATTGTCTTTACTCCAGCATGTTTTTTTGATACCTTTGCTGTTCACTTAGAAACCTCAAAGCTGTGGGGAGTAGAAGGTAACAGGCCGATGGAGGAGGAGACATGAGCAGAGCTGTTGGGAGATGATTACCTTTTTCCTTGGTGGGTCTGGTAGAATTCCTTTCTGAAAAACAGAAGAGATTGATGATACAATTGACAAGGGAGCCACACGACGGATTCTCAGTTTGGCTTCACAACGGGTATTTCTGCCTGCCTTCCCAATATGTCTACCTGCCTATTCTACTGCCAACATACACATGATGTGTCTTCATGGAAATAATTTGCCACATTTCCTCCCTCCCCAGTGATTAAAGGAAGGCTATAGATGCGTTCTCCAGACCTCAGAACCTCTACAATGAGCCCCAAAAAGATCAAGTGTCATTACTCACAACTTCTTGACACTTGGAGATTTTCAGGCTCTCTTTCTCTCTGTGTAGGCTGCCTGTACTGCGTTTTCCCTTGTCCAAGTTTTTCTCATTGAAAACCCAGCTCAGTCTAAATTGTTCTTTAACATGTCCCCATCGACAGAGTCAGAGATGACCTTCCTCCCGCGGAGCAGCTGCATCCGTTCCTGCCTGTACCTCTTCCCACAGCAGCCACACCTGACTGGCCCCATTGTGAAGTGCAGCCTTCACCCTGGCTTGTACGCCTCTCCTTCCCGGCTTCAGATGCAGCTCAGAGAATATTTGCCAAGCACAGGCTTTCATTTTGTGAAGTGTCGCAGAGAAAGGCCAACTGGGTTGGGTTATAGAACGAGTTCCTTAGCCTAAAGCAGAAGAAATAGGCTCCTTGTCAACAGAGACCATGGCCCTGCTTTTTCCCCATCAGGAGGTTGATATGAGGCACGAGGGGATGATATTTTTAAAGTTCAATTTATTTCTATTCTCTTTCAAGGCTAAACTTGATGTGACTTGCCCAAAGCAATTTTGTTAAAATATTCCATCACCTAGGCACTCTGCTCATGGATATAGCCTAAAAAGTGACATATTCAGGTATGTTGCTTTCGTGTGCTACTTTTAATTCCAGCCCTGAAAGTTTCAAGGCTCCTTCCAATTGAAGTTACTCCTATATGACCAAATTTCACAGCAAATTAATGATACAGTCAAGGTTATGGTTTACTGTACTGCCTTCAAAAGAACGTGAGAATTAAGCGAAGCCCAGTGCCTGTAATCCTAGCTATTCAGGAGGCTGAGATCTGAGGATTGCAGTTCAAAGGCAGGAAAGTCTATGAGACTCTTACCTCCAATTAACCCCCAGATAACTGGAAGTGGAGCTGTGGCTCAAAGTGGTAGAGCACTAGCCTTAAGCAAAAGAGCTCAGACAGCACCCAGGCCCTGAGTGCAAGCTCCATGACTAACAAAAAAAAAAGTTTTTAAAGAGGGAGAATATTAAGCTTAATGCAAACCAGCAAAGGTAATGCCTGAAGAGCATGTTAAAATAACACATATGCTGTACACTGTTGGCTCATGCCTACAATCTTGGCTACTCAGGGAGGCTGAGCTCTGAGGATTGGAGTTCGAAGCCAGCCCAGGCAGGAAAAGTCTTTGAGATTTTTATCTCCAATTAACCATGAAACGCTGGAAGTAGAGCTGTGGTAGAGTGCTAGCCTTGAACAAAAGCGCTCAGGAACAGCTCCCAGACCTGGAATTCAAGCCCCAATATCAATACAAAAAGAAAAGTTATTTTTGTTTGTTTGTTTTTGTTGGTTGCAGGGCTTGAACTCTGGTCCTGGGTGTTGTCACTCAGCTCTTCAGCTCAAGGCGAGCGCTCTACCACTTGAGCACCATTTGTGGTTTTCTAGTGGTTTATTGGAGATAAGAGTCTCACAGACTTTCCTGCCCCGGCTGGCTTTGAACCTCAATCCTCAGAGCTCAGCCTCCTGAGTAGCTAGGATTACAGGCATGAGCCACTGGTGCCCGGCAATAACATTATTTTTATGAGGGTTTTCTAGACACAGACATTCTGCCAGAGCTTTGAGGCGAGTGGATCATGATGGCCAAATCCTTGCTGGAAGCTGCCTGTCCGTGCAATACCTTTATCAGTTCTTTCAGAGGCCACCCGTGGCAACGCACGCTCAGCCTCCAGTTCTTGGATGCTTCAAATTTTCCTTTGATTTCGAACTCCCTGGGGGTGAACCATCGTCCATCTTCACTCTGTATACTCCTCACCAAGACACCTGCAAGAACCATGGCAGTCAGGGCTCACGAGTGCGCTGTGGAAACGCTGCTCCTGGCCTCTCCCACTCTGCCTGTGGGACTCTCAGGGGGATTGGAAGAAGTGTTTTCCCTCTCTCAGTCCTCAGAGGGCTCATACCCACCCTGAAAGGCAAGGACAGAGAGGGCCCCGGCCCTTCCTGCCGTGAAGAGGAGAATCATGATCGCCACAATATGCAGGAAAGCATGCCACTCACTGTATTAAAGGAGCTGTATTCTTTCTCTTCCTTTGTCTGCACTCCCGCCGGGAGTCAGCCTGCGTAAGAGGGCGGCAGATGAAGGCACACTCTCTCCCCTGCTTTCCAGGCTCTTGTTAACTCAAGGTGAACAGGTGGCAGCTGCCACAATGCCCACATCTGCCTGGTCTTGTACAATATCTGCAGTGTGGCTAATACAATACCTGCTCTCTTTCGGGGATCCCACCCTCGATTTGAGGGCAGGAGCTAGGTTGAAGGTGACTATGTAACTGACTCCCTGGGAGAGACCAGCGTATTGCTGGGGAAATGGAGTCCCCTGCGACTCCACTGGCAAAGCAATCACGAAAGCTGGCTCTCGCTTTCTCCTGGACTTGACCCCCTGTGCGTCAACTCAGGTCCGGGGTTCTAGAGCTACTGCTGTGTCAGAAAGCCTGAAGCGGGGCTGGCAAATGCCCAGACAGTGCCTAACCCCCTGGGCATGGGCGTACTTCGCAGTCAGAGCACAGAGCACCATGCAACTCACTCTGTTTAAATTTCTTCATATGAAGAATTCCCTTAGCATCACCACAGGTCACGGCAAGTTCAGGAGAGAAAAAGTCCACATTTTCTTCTCTGGGAATTCTTGGGCCTGCATGGAAATAGATGTTGTTTTTCTTTCCATCGTATCCTAAGAGATGGTTCACTGTGTTTCCCTAGCTTGAGAACCTCCTCACATACTCAAGATGTATTGGAATTCCTCCCCACCCCCATGAACAAGTTACATTTCAAAGTCTTTAAGATTCCGGGAGAGAAAGGTCCCCTCTGATCCCTATGCAGAACAGAATGTGAGCTCCCAGCTCATTGGCCACAACTACCTTGTGCACAGTGACTTCCTCCTGATGTTTTAAAGGGAGATGTCCAGTTGTATCATGGCTTTGAAGTTACCTAGGAAATAGCTCTCCAGTTTTCATCCAGTCCCTCTATTTGAAACATGGGTGGGGTACAGGGCAGGATGGCCATGGACCCCTATCCAGCCGCTGTCTGTCTGTGCTCTTGCCTCTGATTTGCTGTACTGCTTCACCTAAGCTTTCTTGGGGTGCTCTAGAAGAAACGATATTGCTTAGGGGCCAGGTACACCCCTTGGGGGTGGGACGGGGGATGTAAGTGGACACTGAAGACCTTATACCAACTTCTGCAGCGGCAGCCTCAGCAGCTCCTGACTTGCCTTCCGGTTAAGGTGAGGTGGAACCAGCAAAGACATGGTTTAGGAGGTAGAAAGTGAGTGTCTTGTATTACCACCTACGCTCCCTTTTTCTATAGTACCATCTGCGGCTCTCTACATGGACGAAAGATGGGTCCATTAATTATGGCATAGGTCTCGAGTTATTTTTTCTTTAATCATCCCAGTGGAGGAAGGCACAGGCCTAGGAGCCTTTCCCAGATGGACTGGCTACTCAGTGGGGTGGGAGTTATCACCAAACAGTCACACTGAAATTGGCCAATGCTGATGCAGGGCCTCTTGTTCGTTACTGGCTCCATAAACCAATCAAGGAGAACAATTTGCCACCAGCACACGGAGTGTAGAATGAAATGTTTACTTATTAAAAGTCTATGAATTGCTTTTTACCTCTTTTTCTGCTTTTTCTCTGACGTTTAACATTGGTTTCTTTTCTTCCTGAGAAAGTTAAAAAAATGTAAGTACATTTTTACTTATAACATTTCGTGGCAGACAGTGTTTTATAAAAACATGACTTAAAAGTTCTCATTTATACCAGGCACCAGTGGCTCATGATTGTAATCCTACCTACCTAGGACACTGAGATCTGAGGATAGCAGTTTAAAGCCAGCCTGGGCAGGAAAGTCTGTGAGACTCTTATCTCCAAGTAAGCAGCAAAAGGTCAGAAGTGGTGGTATGGCTCAAGTGGTAGAGGACTAGCCTTGAACAAAAAAAAGCTCAGACAGCCCTGAGTTCAAAACCTAGGATGAGCACACACACATACATCTCCCCCATACAACCCCTCGCACAAAGTTATCATTGAGATGTAATTTTTCAGAGCCTGTTTAGTATTTACAGAAAAATACGAAATGCCTGGATCAGAAGCCAGGAGGTTTTTTCTGTAAAGGGTTAGCGAGTAAATATTTAAGTTTCTGACCCATAATCTCTCTCATGACACTCAACTCTGAAGCTGTTTCACAGACTGCATGTGAAACAAAAGATATGACTCTATATGTTCTAATACCTTATTTACAAATAGTTGGTAACCTGAATTTGTCCTGTGGGGTGCAAAGTTTGCTGACTTCTGGTCTAGACACAGACTCATCATAACATAGACTCAGCCCATATCAGTTCCTCTAAATTATTGCAGACACATTTGAAATGTTATTTTCTTTGTTTTCCAAGCAATCGGGTGAGAATAGTGTTAGTAATGAAGATGAACATGTGTGGAGTGCTTATTCTGTGCCAGGAATTATCCTCTATTAATTTACTTTGTCCTTTGAACGAATACCAAATAATACTAACAGATTCATTTTACAGTTAGGGATGTTGATGCTCAGTAACACACAAGGTAAATAAAAGTACTGGAGTACCACCAAAACCATAACATATTGATGATTTCCTTTGGAAAGAGAAAGACAGAAAGCAATATAAGAGCCAGGCACCAGTGGCTCATACCTATAATCCTAGCTACTCAGGAGGCTGAGATCTGAGGATCACAGTTCAAAGCCAGCCCAGGCAGGAAAATCTGTGAGACTCTTATCTCCAATTAACCACCAGAAAACTGGAAGTGGCGCTGTGACTCAAGCAGTATAGTGCTTGCCTTGAGCTGAAGAGTTCAGGGACAGTGCCCAGGCCCAGAGTTCAAGCCCCACAACAGGCAAAAAAAAAAAAAAAAAGCAATATAAGACCTTAAGACAGCTCTCGTGGTGGGCTTGTTAATCAGATGGATGCCACAAACCTAAACTTTGTTTTTAAACTGAACTTGTTTTTAAACTGAAAAATGCCCAAGACTTCCTAAATGGAAGTGACAGACCCTGAGCTCAAGCCCTAGTACCATCATGCATACACATAGAAGAAAACCAAAGAAAGAAGAAAGAAAGAACGAGAAAGGGAAACAGATATTTGAGAGAACCAGGTGTGCACATGAAGAGAAGAACCAAGGTGTCAGCTATTTTAACAAAGCAGCCAGTGCTGAAAGTCTCTACAGAAACCAACCAACCTCAGCGAGTTTGGTTTCAGCCTGTAGTTTGGGATCTCCTTGTTACAAGATAGAGAGCTGTGGAGGCTCACAGGAGATTTAGAGACTGAAGGCCAAGTGGGATGTGAAGGGAAAGCAGGATAGAAGTCAGCTCAAAATACTGAATTCTTGTGTTGCTTACCTGGCTGGGCCTGCTTTACTTGGCGTCTTTGCTTTCTCACTTTCTCTTCAAACAGAAAAAAAAAAAAAACATTAGAAATGTAAAGCAAGATTTACAAACTTTATATGTTAGTAGCTTTCTGGTATTTTATTTCTTAAGTTCCATGCCACAGCACCTGGTGGCACTAAATCTCCAGCTGGTGACACCCTATTTGGTGATGATCACATAGAAAAAAATCACAGATCTCTACATTTATACAAAACAATTATGTAGACTATATACTTACATATTTACATGAATTTTTTATAAGGCAGAAGCTGACAGCAACAGAAGGGGCAGTGAAGGAAACTGAGAAATAATAGATGTCAGAAGCCATCAGTACACTTCCTGGAATTACAGGTAGGCCTGAAAAGCTGAAATTCATGTGTGTAACAGCTAGATGTGAAGAAAGTAGCAGGAGAAGAATAAGCCTATTAGAGAAGTAACATCAAAGGTAGGAGGAAAATAAAGATTAAACACTTTTCCAGAAATAAAAACATAAAGGAAGTCTAAGCACACATCAGTACAAACCACAGTAATGACGACATAATCCTCTACAGAGTTCAGTCTTTAAAGAAAGATATTGAGCTGGCGTGGTGGTTCTCACTTCTAAATCCACTGCTCAAGTGGCTGAAACAGGAGGATTGTAAGGTCTGAGACCCTGGTGTGTATGTGTGTGTGTGTGAGAGAGAGAGAGAGAGAGAAGCAGAAACAGAGAGAGTAAAAGCATCTGTACCTAAGTATTTCAATGATTGTTCACACACTGGACGGGAGGTTGCATTAGGAAAGTTTATGCAAGCTATATTTCATTGTTTCAGAGTGAAATCTTTTGGGGACTTTTCTGTATCTCTGTCAGTAAAATTGGGCTCTATCTAATAAGGGTAACTAATGAACTTACAGAGACTAGATTGCAAAAAGTAAGTCTTCATAACAAGAAAAAGAATTAGCCCAGCACCAGTGGCTCATGCCTGTAATCCTAGCTACTCAGGCGGCTGAGATCTGAGGATCACAGTTCAAAGCCAGCCCAGGCAGGAAAGTCTGTGAGACTCTTATCTCCAATAAACCACCAGAAAACCGGAAGTGGTGCTGTGGCTTGAGTGGTAGAGCGCTCGCCTTGAGCTGAAGAGCACAGGGACAGCGCCCAGGCCCAGAGTTCAAGTCCCATGATTGGGAAAATAAAAAAACAAAAAACCGAAAAAGAATTACAGAAAGAGATGAAAGGAAAGTCCTGCAATGTACCCATGTGGAAAGGGAGGGCGCATTCTGAATATTCTCCCCATAACACTAATATAGAGAATCCAATTTGCTGAGGTACTAGAGAAATTTTATAAGAAGACTGTCTTATTCTCTATAAAATACAATCACATTTCTATTCATAGCCATCACCAGTTTATTCTGTTTGCCATTGGAAGAGTCATTTGAAGGGGTCCTATACTACCTTTCATGAAACTAACCTCTAAAGAAACCTCTCATTCTGATTGATTGTCTTACTTGATCATTTTTGGCCATATTTTACATCTGAATGACATCGGGATCCATAAACCGAATAAATGCTTGTAAGATTTTTGTATTAAATCAATGGTATTCTGACTATTTCTCATGCAAGTAGGTAATAAAATGTCGACAGGCTTCCTCTGAAATACAAATTTAGAGTATTCTCTCATTTAAATTCACTCCAGTTATTAAGTGATGTGAAGAAAGATATTCATAGCAGCACAGAGATTTATTCAACATATAAAACTTTTTCCAAAGGGCAGGAATTATACAGAGAAAGCTCTCAGTGGAAGACATTAAATAAAACATCATTAAATTGGGTGAAAGTCTCTAGTCTTCCCAGTGATCTGCAAAATCAAAGCATTTCTAATTGGAGAATCTGGAGGATGTAGGAAGCAGTGGGCTGAGAAGCTTTGTTTATTCTACAATTTGCCCTGTAAGTCATGTAGATGGGTTTACTTTAGCCTTCTGTTCTCTTTTGCCATTACTTTGGCTGCAAAAGAAAAGTGACTGTGTAAATAGTAAAGACACTGTGCAGACCAACAAGTAATTTGAATGACCATGAACAGCATAACGAATATTTTTATTTTAGATTCTCATCTTGCACATCCATAAAGAGGAATGAACATTAGGAACATTAAGAGTGATCTGAGACTCATCAATGTTCTGGAATCAAATATAGAACTGCATAGAAAATGGCTATTATAAATGTGATGTGAAAACCCCTAAGACAGTGAGAAAAAAAACCTGATGGATTCGACTACTAAAAACACTTGAAACTTCTCTAGGACAAATGGTTCATTAGCGAACTTACAAGAAAAGTAACAAAATGGAACAAAACTCAAGCAATTTGCAAGACTAAGATTTAATATACATAACAGAATGATCTCTGTGGCTGTTCAGCATCTCAAGGAAAAGACAAATGGCCTCAGGAAACACTGACAGTATGCTACCACAAAGAGTCCTGGGAAGAAGATAAATAAATGACCACTTAAAAATGCAAAATTGCCAGGTGGGCCATGCCTGTAATCCTAGCCACTAAGGAGGCTGAGGTCTGAGGATTGTGATTCAAAGCCATCCCAGGAAGGAAACTCCATAAGACTCTTTTTTTTTTTCGGTCCTGGGGCTTGCATAAGACTCTTATCTCCAACAAACTACTCAGAAAAAGCCAAAAGTGGTGCTGTGGTTCAAATAGTAGAGCATTAGCCTTGAGCACAAAAAGGCTCAAGGACAGCACCCAGGTCCTGAGTTCAAGTACTGGGACCAGCAAAAGACACCCCCCCAAATTCCTGCAGTCTAAAAATAGAAACAGTGTATGTTAAAGCAGCTCTGAAGTAAGACATTTTAATAGTTAAACTAAGGATAAATAAGATCTATGGACATATGCTATGGTATATCAAAGTCTTATTACTTTGTCCACTTTATATCTATTAATAAAATGAATTCAATCAGTGGTATAATATTAAAAGAAAGTACACAAAGTGTTCTAATGTGTTTATTGTCTATATTTGTTTAAGAAGCAAGAATAAATATCTAGAATTACAGTAAGTAAAATGATATTCTAAAATATGTTAATGCATACACAGAAATATTTTTTGAAAGAGCTATACGTTTATAAAAGCATGTTAAAATCAGAATAAAAAACAACATGCTAAAGATGACAATTAACATTGAAAGTCATTCATTTTTGTCTTGTAAAAGACATAGAAAATAATGAGACTCCACCTCTGTATTAAAAGCATATTTCATCTGTATCAGACAGATCAGACAAATTCTGTTTGTTCTTACTTTTTTCCCCTCTGTCTTTTGCCAAAGTAGAAGTATTTCCACCATCCATGGCATCTAGGAAGTAATAAGTGATAGTCAGAAAACTGTTCATTTATAAAATAAAAGTTACAAATCTTGTGACAATTTGCACAGTATGGAAAGCCAAAATTTATAATGGAGTTCTCAGTACCACTCTCCCAAGAACACAGGCAGGTGTGCGATTGAGAGCTCAGATCTTCCCTCAGTGCTCAGAGACTTCGAGAAGACTTCCTTACTGAAGTGCACCAGCTTACTCATGTATAAACGGGTAGCAACAGTTATCCTATTAAGGTTGAAAACTTTTTAATGAAGGTTAAATAACAGCTTATGTGCAAAGGCTAATTGTAAATCACTCTATAAACCAATAACTTGTTGCAGGACCTCATTTCAAACTATACATTTTAAAATTTAGAAATAGTTCTTTGACGTTTCTTTTCCTGACAGCAAAACAGTTTGCCTTCTTAGGCCTTTCTAAAGTCATAAAGTTGTGATAAAGTAACATTATTAGCAGATCTATCAACCAAAGCATGCTGCTTCTTCGTTTCACAGATAAGGGTAGAATCATATAAATCCAACATTTAGCACTGTTATGCTAATACAGGAAATAAGACGCCTCTGTTTTTAATTAGTAATATTTGAACCACATCATTGATACATAACCAATAAAGCCTATACTGATTTCAGTTTCTAACATCCTGTAGCCTCAGACTTAGGGTCCTGTTTCCAGTTAGTAAGTTAGAGTTGTTTCAGCGTTCTCCTTGAACTCTGATCACCAGCCGCACTACTAACTTCAGTCTGTGGTATTTCTGATTTACCTCTGTTCCAAGACCCTTGGGCATCCTAACCATCATGTAAAATGCTTGGCTTTTTTTTAACCCTTGCTCCTTGGCCTTGGCACAAATTTTGTGAAACACATGACACAGGAATACTTCCCATTACCAGCTTTGTGTAGCTTGAATTCTAAAGTGTTATCTGGAAAGAATTTTCATCTTTGGTCCCTCCTTTCTCCCCAGTCCTACTTCAAAGGATGAGTCTTCCTCTAATTAGATATTTTTCTTTTCTTTTTTGTTTATATATGTTCTCTTTAAAAAATGTCTTTTCCTTTTATAGATGATCCCTAACATAATCCCTAGATGATTCCTTGAAATAAAGGGTGAATGCATGTTTTAGAGACAGAGACAACACTAGAGGACTAAAGAGTGATCTTTTAGAATGGTTTGGAAGTGTTAACTTTGGAGTTTGAAGATCTTGAGGGAGGGCGTAGACCTTCAGGACCTTGGACAGAGGCGTGCTGCCTCTGAACTTTTTAGGAGGCAGGACTAGTGGGGAGATGTGTGGTAGGGGACAGTTCGGGTGAGGGTGGTGATTGAAGTCACAGGAGCAGATCGGATCCCTGGAGCAACTTCCCTGAGTGACAGAAGCTCCTTGGATACCCAAGGGTGCTTTGCTCCAAAAACTCCCTGCTGAAGTCAAGTTGCTTTTGTCTTGTGTTCATCTTGCATTTCACAATGTCCCCATCTGTCCCCTCTCCTTGTCACATGGCCTCCGCACCCTTGTTCTCTCATCTTTCCATGTTTCCTCTGCATAGGTTTTATTGTGCCTGCCATTTCATGCCTCTCCTTTATTACTTCCGGGACCATCTCCTTCTTCGTCCATTTCTGTACTCACATCTCTGGATCTACTTCCCTTCCCTTTTTGCTCTGGATTTAATTCTAGCTCTGTTTTTCTCCATCCTATCCTGATGTTAGCTGTTTGCCCATATCACTTCTTGTCTTTATATTTCCTTCCTCTATATTTGGTTTCAGCTCACAGATGACTGCCTTCACAATCACCAAATGCCAAGGTCTTGGAAGCCAAGTCTACTGAGAAACACTTAAAGCTCATTTGTGTATCTTTTCATTTGGTGCCCCAGCCTCTGTGTCCTATTCTTGCTCTTACGTTAGCCACTCAGTGTCACATCCATGTATCCAAAAGCCAAGTCTTCTCTTTGGACCCCTCAAACCTGTTGAGAACAGTTATTCTATGCACAAGTATCCATAAGTGCACTTGTGTGTGCGTGTGCGTGTGCGTGTGCGCGCTTTAGGGGAGGGATAAGAAAAAGAAAGACTTGTCTTCTGTATACACAGGAAGACACAGATAATTGCTAATATGATTGTGGTTTCTGTCACATGAGGATAAACTGTATCCCTCTTGGGTCTTTTCTTCTATGCATTTGGAGAACTTGAGGTTCACAAAACACTGAAAAGAAATACGGAAATGAAAGACAGGGGTAACGAAAGACAGGTTTCCTGTAAAGACAGGAAACAACTTACTGTGGTGATAAGGAGCTATGTTGAACCTCAAATGAGCTGTACCTCAGCTACAACAAAGATTCAGTCTCTTTTTCAAGCCGGCCACTCCTCATTCTCCTTCTGTGCCCTGCCTATTGCTCTATCTCCCTACATTTCGAGCTCTAGCTCTGATCTGTGAAACTCTCTCTTTGACTTCTCTGTTCTCTTTTGTTGCTTTTTTCCTTTTTGTCAATGATGGTTTTAATCTTTCTTTCTCTATTGATCTTTTTTCAGATAGTTTGTATACAAAATAGCTGGTCCTATTCCTACCCCCTCCATCACTGATTTTCTTTTTCCCTCTCCACTCATATATATATATATATATATATATATATATATATGACAATATTTATGTACATGTGTATACACAACTATAAATGTGTATGTATGTATGCATTAAATATTGTGTATGAGGGTATGTGTATGTCCCTTTGGGCAGGAGACACTTTTGCCATGGCAAACTCTCCTTTCTGTCATCTCTTACTCTTCTTTCTCTTTCACTTAATCTTCATTATGTGAGTAAAGAATAAGCTGGGGCAAGCTGGGTGCCGATAGCTCACACCTATAATCATAGCTATTCAGGAGGCTGAGATCTGAAGATCATGGTTCAAAGCCAGCCCAGGCAGGAAAATCTGTGAGACTCTTATCTCCAATTAACCACCAGAAAACCAGTAGTGGTGCTGTGGCTCAAGTGGTAGAGTGCTAGCCTTGAGCTGAAGAGCTGAGGGACAGCGCCCAGGCCCAGAGTTCAAGCTCCAGGACTGATCAAAAAACTCAAACAACTTGCATTGTGCTTGCACCATTGCACATTTTGAAGTATACAGATGTGGTTAATTAGGCTTCCTTCCTTCTATCTGATACACTTCCCTATGTACATTCTTAGTTCTTTATACAACTCCAGATTCTGATTATAAGAGAAGTGAGTTACTCCCTGTCATGTACAGTGATTACGCACCATGTAGCACCCTGGCTTGCTAGTCTCTGTTCTTTTCTTTTCTTTCTTTCTTTTCTTTCTTTTTTTTTTTTTTTTACCAGTTTTGGGGCTTGAACTCAGGATCTGGGCACTGTTCCTGAGCCTCCCTGTGCTCAAGGATAGTGCTCTACCACATGAGCCACGGTGCCACTTCTGGCTTTTTCTGTTTATGTGGTACTAAGGAATGGAATCTAGGGCTTCATGCATGCTAGGCAAGCACTCTACCACTAAGCCACATTCCCAGCCCTTCTTTTCATTTTTTTTGACCCTTTATATATTTGTACATTTCTTTACTCATCCCAAAATGGGGATAGCATGTGTTAGGCTATGTCTTTGTGATCTTAATTGTTAATTGATCTTAACTGGATTTATTAAAATAATCTGACAGAATCCAACTGCATGGTCAAGTACATCTGTCAACAACTATACTAAAGTTCACGAGTATTGATCTGGAGGCTTTATTTCTGTCTATAATTCCATAATGAGACAGTTGTCTTTTGAGACTTCTACAATTACAAATGACCAATGAGTAGAGCCTAGAAATCTAGGTTCTATTTTGCTAGTCAGCATGACAGTGGGTATTCATAAAAGGCGTCACCATGTTGTTCTTTATTTCTTCCACAATATCAATCAATATCAATATATAATTACACACATTCAGTTGGTAGAATTCATTCTATGAAGCATGAGTTTATAATGGTTTCCTAATTCCTTCTATTCTCTAGAGTGTTGGAAAGAAGTCTTCAGAAGGGCTGGATGCAAAGGAGTCAAGGTGCTGAGAATAAAATGCATCTGGGTGTACTGGCTGTGAATTCAGAGTCCTGACATCTGCAGAGCCAGGCTTGGAATCCTAATCTTCTGTACCTAATCCACTTCTTAGAGCTTCGAGAGGCTCTTCTCCATGACTCCGCTCGGAAGAGCCACTACTGCTGAGCCCTGCAGAAAGAGGGGACACCCCTTGACAGTCTGTCTGCATCTTAGGAACCAATCCAAAAAACAATTCTTCAAATGGAAAAACTGGAGCCGGTGCTGGACTCACAGCTGTAACCTTAGCTACTCAGGAGGCGGAGAGCTGAGGATCATGGCTTGAAGCCAGACAGGGCAGTCTGTGAGACTCTTATCTCCAATTAACCACCAGAAAACTTGAAGTGGAGCTGTGGCTCAATGTGGTAGAGTGCTGGCCTTGAGCAAAAAGGGACTCAGAGACAGCTCCCAGGCCCTGAGTTCAAGCTCCGGAACCAGTGTGCGCATGCACATGTGCACACACACACATACATGCACAAATATAAGAAAACACTGGAAGAGAAGCTTGTTTTAGAAATATTCCTACCACTTGGCCATTTCTGTCCGCCTGGTCAAGGCTGGGGCAGGGGATACTTTTGCCAGGGTAGCACTCCTTTCTGTCTTCCCTTCTTATCTCTCTTTCCCATTCACTTTGTCCTCTTCATGTGAGTAAAGAGTAAGTTTGCATTGTGCTTGTGCCGTTGAACATTTTGAGGCCTATATAGTATATTAATTAGCCCAACCCACCTCATGCAAAACGCCTAATGTAAATCACCTAAAATTCTAATACGCTGAATGCGATGGTGCACGTCTATACTCCACTATTCTAGAGGCTGAGACAGGAAGATCCTAGTTGGAGGACAAATAAATTCAATTTTCAAAGGGCTGGGATATATATAGCTTATGGCACTTGCTTATTAGCACATGTGAAGGCCTGGGTTGTGCCAATTTTTTTTAATCTTAAAACCTATTTAAAAGCTTGAATGATGCTTTCATAGCACAGAAAAAGATTTATTATATCTAGAATTTTTAAATTGTTCTTACGTCTTTTCCTCTTATGTTTTCTCCAGGTAGATGCTTTTCCAATATCCATAGAATCTAGAAAAGAAAGAAAAACAAAACCAGAAATCTGTAACTAACAGGGGTATAAATTTTACGACTACTTACATTATAGATAAAATTTGGACCACAATGATGATGATCATTTTTTTAATCTTCCCATTAAAGAGAGATCCCTTGCAAACGGGGCAGAGACCCATCCTCATTTAGTAAAATGAAAGGCTGTGTGTGTGTGTGTGTGTGTGTGTGTGTGTGTGTGTGTCTTGGGCTTGCACTCAGGGCCTGCATACTATCCCTGAGCTTTTGTGTTCAATGCTAGTGTTCCACTACTTGAGCTACAGCTCCACTTTTGTTTTTTGGGTGGCTAAATGGAGATAGTTTCATGGCTGTTTCTGCCAGGATTAGCTTTGAACCATGATCCCCAGCTCTCAAGCCTCCTGAGTAGCTAGGCTTATAGGCATGAACTACTTGCTGAGAACCTTCCATGTACAACATGTAAAAGATTCTTAATGATTTGTGTGCTTGGGTCAAATGGGGCAAATTACAGTTCTCTTGCCTACCTATTCATTTGTTGCCAAGATAAATAGCCACCTTATTTGCGAAGATATTTTCTAATATCACTCCTGAGCTAATGTAATGTTGGAGTTATCTGTCAAAGTCTATGAATTCAAATTAATGGTAGTAAACAAAAAGATTTTCTTTATTAGAGAGTGTGATGAGGGTCTTTCGAGTTTTAAGCAAGATGATAACAAAATCAAATAATGGCTGACTATCTCTTTCTCTTCTATACAAGATAGTTGGTAAGCAGAAGTGGAAATCATGCCCTAATTCTAATATTCTGGGGTTCACAGGACTGGCAGTATGTAGAGCACAGGGCGCTCCCCTCAACCACAGTTGGCTCATTAACCCTGGATTTATGATTCTGTTTTTCACGTTTCAATGTCCTGATGAGGGGAATGCAGAGAAGGGAGTGACCTGGGTCCTGCTGTGACAGGGGCCCGGTGTAAATCCAGCGGGGCATGGGGGGGCCTCATCCCAGAGCACAGCGTCTGGCCCCCCCATCCCCCCCCCCCCCCCCCCCCCCCCCGCCCCCTAGGTCCTGGCTGCCATCCTTACTAGTCTCACCAGGCTCCTTCCTTGGTGCTGAGAGCCAGGATACTGGAGGCAAATCCTCCTCGCTGGACTCCGAGGAATTCCAGTCATGTCCTCTCACTGCAGAAAGACAGCAAATGCCCCCTGAGGGCTCAGTGTGTGTGCGTGTGTGCGCGTGCGCACGCGCATGTGACAGAAGGAACCAAGATGGAAGAACATTCTAGAGAAAGGAAACTAGGAAAAACTTAGCTCTGAACTTCCAGAAGATCTTAGATCTCTGCCTTAAATCTCCACGACCTGTGCTTCAAAGTCCTGTGACCTGCAGTGACCTCATTGTCACCTGAGCCTGAGACCCAGAAAAATGTTCCGCCCTCCTCCCCCTAGTTGACATATCTGCTTTGTCTCCACCCTCTTCTTATGCCGCATTTCCCTTTTGCCTTGTATATCCTTTATGCATTTGTTGTTGCTTTTGTGTCTATTTATATTCACTTAGAGCTTGCTTCTCTTTCAGGACAGTCATGAAAATCAAAAGAGAAGTGGATCTGCTCCTTAACTATTTCCCTGGCCGTTAGAAATATGGTCATGGAAAATCCATGGGATGTTTGTTTAGAAAAAAACCATTAAAGTCCTATTAAAATTTGTTTATTATGTTGAATCATTACCTTCTTTGGAGTCGTAAATTACAAATAACCTAACATGTAACCGTCTAAAATGAAAGCAAGTTGTATTTTTACATGGAAGAAAAGAGCAAAGAACTAGAATGAATGTCTTAAAGAAAATAAGAGTGCACAAATGACTAGGAAGTATTCTTAATTTCTCCTACCATGTTGCCCAAGCCTTTTCTGGAACGTAACAGATTTTCTGAAATCTATAGACTCTGGGAGATAAAAGGGAGAAAAATCATTATTTGTATACAAAAGACAAGCTCTGTGACAACTCATCCAATAGGCTTACAACCTTTCTTTTCCTTCTATTGACCGGGTTGTGAAGGCCCGGCATTGCAATGCTTCAATTCAACCTGGATTTCTCTTTAATTCTGTGTGTGTGTGTGTGTGTGTGTGTGTGTGTGTTTTGTGTTATGCTTTCTAGGAAGGCACATTTGAACTATACCTCCATTCTTTTTAGTTTTAGTTTATCTATTTACTCAGATAGAGCTTCTCACTTTTAGTCCTGGGCCAGCCTCAAATCACAATGCTCGCTTATCTGCCTCCCATGTAGCTGGAATCACGTGTCTATCACCACACCCAGACTCTCTTGAATCCTTTATGTAAATTTGGAAATGATTCTTGACCGTGGCTAGATCCAATTCTCATCCACAAAGAAAGGCAGGATTACCTCCTTGCCATTCTTTGCTTCTAAGGTTTTTTGGTGGGGTGGGGGGGGGGGGGGGGAGAGCTGGTCCTGGGGTTTCTTTTGCTCAAAGCTACTCTACCACAGCTCCACTTAAACCACAGCTCCACTTCTTGCTTTTCTGGTAGTTGATTGGGGATAAGACTTTCCTGCCCAGGCTGGCTTCAAACCTCAATCCTCAGATCTCAGTCTCCTAAGTAGCTAGGGTTATTTGCTACTAATGTTTTTGAGATAACAAAATGGAGATTTATTGGCAAAAGCCCTGGGGAAAATCATAATGTGTGCCAACAGTTTAGCGATAATTTGGGTTTGGATATAATTCATTTAAAGTCATTGTTACCTGCCCAATAATTAAATAGCACGGATTATTCCTTGTAAGCTTTCTAAGCTTACTACTAATGACAATATTATCAATTAATTGAGGGTTAGTGTGCTCACTGTGCCTTATAAAATATAAATGGTTAGAAAGATGGAGGAGAATGATGGGAGGGGTGACGTCAATGAAGATACAATGTACTCATAATCTGACTTCTGGAGAGGAAACCCCTTTGTACAACTACTTAAAAATATATATGGTTGTAGTAGAAAGTCAGTACAATATTTCAACTCTACTATTAATAGACAGAATAACATTTTGTCCAAAAACCTGTCATTTTACTAGCATATGTTTACTATTTTTTTGGTGGTACAGGGATTTAAATTCAGAAAACAAATCTACCACTTGAGCCATGCCTCCAGCCCAGACTTTTGCTACATTTTCATTGTGTTAATCAATAGGCCTTGTCCACTTAAACAAGTTTAGAATATCTCCTTGACCTCTTTTATTTCTTAGACTGATCAAAACTCATCAGAATGGCTTGGATGTAGCTCAGTGGCCCAGCACTTGCTTAGCAGGTACAATGCCCTGGGTTCAATCCCAAGGACTAAAAATGAAAAACAAAACCTCATCAGAAAACAGAGCTTTGAGTTAAGACTTTGACATCCCGTAGTCTAGAAGTTGCCATTGTGATCTTACCTGGTGCCAGCTGGGGTTGTGAACAAGTGGCCTCTTGCTCCTCTATTTTCTCATGCAATCCTAACAGACTATGGTTGTTGATAGCTGTACACAAGAGTAGATTAAAATAAAGATGGGTAGATTTTTCTCAGTGGTCTCAGTTGTGAACAAGAAACCAATCAGTAGGAAATTTTCTAATAAGAAAACTCGGCCTTGAAACCCCATGGTAATCCTAGCCTGCGCCTAGGCCATGCTGTTCCGTCTTTGTCAGTGAGGCTCCTGTAGGTTAGTGACACTCTGTTTCTGCCCCACGGCTGGGAAGGGGCAGCCTTGCCACCTCTTGGTCCTTTCTTCCTACGTGTCCTTTGGCTGAGTGCCCCGTCTACTTGCCATTCCATGTCTGGCCATCTCTGCCCCTGTGATTCATGCAGGGAGAGCGAAGCCCTCCTCTTCTATCCTCACCGGCCTACCAACCTCAGCCAGTCACAAGGCTGAGCACCAACCATATCTGAACCATAGACACATTTTATTTATTTATTTCTTAGAGCACTTTGCACTTCCTAAAAGCAGGGGTGTATTTCTGTTTCCCTTTTGGAGACCCAGTGAGCAATTGAATTAAAGATATTCTTCAACATATTGCTCCTTTGCAACCTCATGCTCAGGACATGTTTCCATTTGGTCTTAGCTTTTTCCTAGTGATTTCCCTAAACAACCATGTGACTAAGATTTTCTGGGATTAGAAAGTTAAGAGGGAAAGTAAATCAGCAATTTGTACACTACAGAGTTTTAAATCTTCTGACAGCCACAGGACAGGAAGAGATCAGAAATAATATGGCCTTTGGATAAATCTCTTTTTTTGGTCAGTCATTGGGCTTGGACTTAGGGTCTGCACACTGTCCCTTGCTTATTTGTTCAAGGTTACTGCTCTATCACTTTTGAGCCACAGCCCTACTTGCAATTTTTAAGTGGCTGATTGTAGATTAGAGTCTTATGGACTCTAATTGTAGATGAGAGTCTTTTGGGCTGGCTTTGAACTTCAGATCTCATTCTCCTGTGCAGCTAGGATTACAGGTGTGAGCCACTACTGCCCTGCTTGTATTTTACAAAGGAAATAATTCTGAGGCCAGGATATGGGTCTGATCTTTCCTTCAATTCTCCATAAGACTTTAGCAAAGTCTTTGGGAAACATTTCTGGGGTTGTGTTTTCCCCTGTCTCAGAAACAAGGACACCAACATTCACTCTGCCTATCTGCTCAGATACACAAAAAAAAATGTTATGTACAAAGCTCTGTTCAAACATTACTCTATATGCCATGCCACACTGAAAAAAAAATTTTTTTTGGGGGGTCTGATCGTGGGGCCTGAACTCTGGGCCTGGGCGCTGTCCCTCAGCTCTTCAGCTCAAGGCTAGCGTTCTACCACTTGAACCACAGCGCCACTTCCGGCTTTTTTCTTCTTGCTTATGTGGTGCTGAGGAATCAAACCCAGGGCCTCAGGCATGCAAGGCAAGCGCTCTACCACTGAGCCAACTTCCCAGCCCTGAAAATTTTTTTGATCAGAAACAATGTTTTGTTTTCAGAATATTTTATCTCAAGTCTTTACTTCTGCTAAAATGAGGTAGCAGCGTGACTTGTCTTTTAGCAGAGTGACAGTATTTGGGTTTGAACTCATTTTGGATATAAGATCTTACTTCCTGCTCAAGTGCATGCCTGGATTGTGATCCACCTATTTTAAGCTTCCTGTCATAGCTAGGAGAAGAAGCATGTGCCACTATACATAGTTCTCAGTTGTGAAGGGGTGTCTGTGAACTTATCTACTTGGGCTGGGCTTGAACTATGATCCTCCCAATCTCAGCTTTCCAAGTAGCTAAGATTACAGGAGTCACTTTAACAGCCTGGTTATCTTCTGACACTATTCAAAGGGTATACTCTACCAATAAAGGAACATTTATCTTGCTGTTCTCGTAGAAGTCATTGGTAAATCTAATATTCTATAGTCAAGCAGAAAATATGGTACCACAATAAAGAGGATCCATTCTCCTGAACGGGCTCAGGATCAGAATAGGATACAACAGGTAACAGCCACTCCTCAGTCCTCCCAGCCTTCCTTACCTGGTTGGCTTCTTGGCAAAGTCTCTGCAGGCTCATCTTCATCATTGGATCCTTTAGAATCATCACTGCTGATTTCTGCACAAATGAGAGAAATCCCTCTGGAGTCTCGGCCGTGACCTAGAGGCCCACGTGGTGGGAATGCCTGCAGCACGGGCTCTAGGGAATCCCAGCAAGTTCTCTCAGGGTGTGGAATGGACCCTGACAGCTTGGGGCTTGACACGTCTTCCACAGCTTCACCCCAAAACTGGTCACACTGACAGGTTGGGAAGTTTTTCACAACCCCTAGGTACCCTTCTCACCCTGCCCTCATCTTATTTGCTCCTCTTTTTCTCATTGTTCTCAGAGCCTCAAGCTCTTGCTTAGTTTTTTTCACTCAAGGCTGGTGGTCTACCATGTGAGCCATACCTTCTCTTCCAGCTTTTACTGGTTCATTGGAGGTAGGATTTTCAAGGATTTGTCTGCCCAGGCTGGCTCCGATTCTCCCATCTTACCCTCCTGAGTAGCTAGGATTATAGGTGTGAGCTATTGGCTAGCTCATTTCTCTCTCTCTCTCTCTCTCTCTCTCTCTCTCTCTCTCTCTCTCTCACACACACACACACACACACACACATATCCTAAGCCAATCCAGGCAAACAAATCCATGAGACTATTTCCAATTAGTTATCAAAAAGCCATACCTGAGGTGTGGCTCAGGTGGTAGAGTGCCACTGGAAATGGAGAAAATAGAAGCAAGGAGTCTTAGCTCTAGAATTCAAGCACTGGCACAAGAAAAGGCCAGGCACAGGTGGCTGACACCTGTAATCATAGCTACTCAGGAGGCTGAGATCCAAGGATCACAGTTCAAAGTCAGCCCAGGTAGGAAAGTCTGTAAGATGCTTATTTTCAATTAACCATCAAAGCTGGAAGGAGCTATCGCTCGCATGGTGGAGTGTGAACCTCGAGCACAAATGCTTAGGGACAGTGCTCAGGCCCTGAGTTCAAGCCCCAGGAGTGGCACAGAAAGAAAGAACAGGACAGAAAGAAAGAAAGAAAGGAAAGAAGGAAACAAGAAAGGAAGGAAAAAAGGAAAGAAAAGAAAAGAAAACCCAGGCTGAGGAGTCCGTACTTCCTACAGTCTTTGCTCCATTAAATTGACCTTATTTTAGGGGTGGAAGACTTGGGAAAGCCTTCCTCTACTTTTCGTGGCGCAGGGGAAGGACATGGTCCCGCATGTCATGACTGACCCTGCCTGCTCCTACAGCATCTCCTTATTTTACTTGCAACTTTCTTCTTGCTTCTGCCCTGATCACTGCTGCTGTGTGGGTGAGGGAATCTCCTTTTATCTCTCTGTCCATCTCCTTTGCTGACTAACTCAGTTCCTTTACTGTCTTCCTTTTCTAACTCTTTTCCCCTTGTATTCTTTTCTTCCTTAAGAAAGAACTTCTCTGACATCAGCAGCTCCTGTTTGCACCGCCATTTCTGAGTTTTGGTATTTTCCCACTTCCTAAGGCCTCTCATCCACAAAGCTAAAGACTTACTTCCACTTTCACAGGGGATAGGCCCCCTCCCCTGCCTCCTTCTATTCCAGACGGCTGCTGGGCTACTCTCGTGGGTCCTCAAAGATCCCAAGACCCATCCCTGGAACCTGTCATCTGGACACAGCCATGAGTTCTTCAGTCAGCCTTACCTATGATGTCAGAAGCCTGGTCATGTCTAGTCCTTGTTCCGGCTGGTTGCTCAGCACTCCAGTAATTAAATGGGTTTTCCTTCTTTATATCCACGAGGAGCACAGAACAGGAACTCATTTGGGTTTCATGAGAAGGCAGCCTGACTCCTGATTATAATGAATAAAGACTTGTCATTTGTCTCTCCAGTGCACTCCCTCACGAGCATTCACACCCCTTCTTCCCAGTGCCACTTAGTGATGGACACTCATTGCTTTCCCTTCCTTTTTTATCTGCTGCTAACCTTTCCTTTTACCTGTTCTCCTCATCCTTTGATGAATGTGTATGCATTTGCTTTTTTAAGGGTTTACTTTATTTTAAAAATTATTGTATTATCTTTACATAGTTGTACAAAGGAGTTACCATTCAACAAATCAGTTTATGAATATGTTGCATCTTTTGTTTTAAAAATAAAAATATAAGGTCAACATAGCATGCCTGAGACCCTGAATTCAATTTTGCATGCATACCTGCTCATGAACACCTGTTCACACACACACATACAACCACACACACAAATGCAAGCACATTAAGCACTATATAAAATCACTTTGATTGCCTGGGTACAATGCATATGGGAAACAATTTTTGTGTTTATACTTTGGACCCATGTCCAAGATATCTCATGACATACATATATATGCATTTATCTGTATATATATTATCTAATATATATAATATATTATCTAATAAATTATACATCAATTTATCTTTTAAGAAATAAAAATAAAAAATTAGGCAAATGTGGTGGTGCATGCCTGTAATCCCAGCATTTGGGAAGTCGAAGTAGGAGGGCTGCCTGGGTTACATAGTGAGACTCCGTCTCAAAAAGTAAATAAACATGAAATGAAATAAGAATGATCAGAATGGATTGCGGCTAAGATTGGATTTTCAGCATGTCAAAGCAAACATGTCACTTCAGTCAAGAAACAAACTACCAACACCCAGAGCCTCTTGGTAATACCTAATCATTATCTCCAGATCATTTTCAGTATCAACTACCATTTTGACATAGTCTCTTTGGTTGTTTAAATAGCATAATAATCATGCTCCATCTCCTCCCATATATATATCTCAAAATAAGATAATGCATATCTACTTTATGCATATATGTGTGAATATATATATTACTTAATATTTTTGCAAGAGTCATCTTTGTTCCTTTTGGACAAGTATCATTATTAGTGTATGGTATTGTTATAGGACTAATCCTCCAGCATTTAGCCATTTTTCTATTTCAACTGAAAGTCCATGAGACTCTTATCTCCAATTAACAAGCAAAAAGCCAGAAATGGAGATGTGGTTCAACTTGTAGAGTGCTAGTTATAAGTAAAAACGCCAAGCCAAACTGCAAAGGCCCTGAGTTCAAACCCTAGTACACACACACACACACACACACACACACACACACACACACACGAGTCCAGGACCAAATGGCTTCTCAATTGAATAGTTGAATAGATACAAATCCTACTCAATGGCGGAAGGCTAAAAGCTTTGCCTTTTCAGACAAGAAGCCTTGTTGCTTCCATCCAACAAAGTACTAAAAATGGAAAATAAGTGCTTGAAAAGTGCCTGACATTACAATTTATTAAAGAAGTGCAAATAATTCCCAATGAGATGCTAATCTCCTGTTAGTACAGCTATGATGAAAAGAATAAAGGTAGCAAATGTTGATATCGATGTGGAGAAAATGGGAACCCTTGAATACTGTTGGGAATATAAATTAGTAAGACATTACAAAAAACAATAGAGCAATTCCTCACCTCAAAAAATAAAAAGTAGCTAGTTCTGGTTGCTCACACTTGTAACTAGCTACTCAGGAGTTAAGATCTGAGGATTGATTGTGGTTTGAAGCCAGCACGGGCAGAAAAACCCATGAGGCTCCCTTCTCCAATTAACCAGCCCAAAGTCTTGAGCTGTGGCTCAAGTGATGGAATACTAGCCGTGAGTAAAAATGCTCAGGGACAGCACCCAGGCCCTGAGTTCAAGCCCCATGATGGGCGCAAAAAAAAAAAAAAAAAGATTTTAAGTATTCACTATAAGTATGTATAGAACTATATATTTGACTCAAACACCATTTCACAATGTGATATATTTGTGTATGTGTATGTATATGAATAACTTCCTGTGCGTGCAGTCATGGGATTGAACTCAGGGCCTTGCATGTGTTAGTCAATTTTTATTTATTTATTTATGTCAGTCCTGGGGCTTGAACTCTGGGCCTGGGCACTGTCCCTCAGCTCTTCAACTCAAGGGCTAGTGCTCTGCCATCTGAGCCACAGTGCCACTTCTGACTTTTTCTGCTTATGTGGTACTGAGGAATTGAACCCAGGGATCATGCATGCAAGGTAAGCACTCTACCACTGAGCCACCGTCCCAGCCCTTCAGTTGTCAATTTAAAAAATGGTTAAGGATAGTTTTTGAAAAGAACAATTAACAATCAAACAAATAGAGACGATCAGTAAGTTTGGTGAAGGAAGTAATAGTTACTTTCTTCGATGCAGGCCAGGGGGCTGGGTGGCTGTAAGCTTGCGTCCCAGGGGTCCACGTAGGCAGCTTCTTGTTCCTGGGACTCTGAAGACAGAAGGATCACAGCTGAGACCCAGCGGTGTCTTGCTCTTTCCTGGCTTCATTTTGCCATAACTCACCCTGCTTCCCATATGCTACTTACGGCCTATTTGTATCCCCTCCGTCCATCTGCGGAAGTATCTGTGCTTCGCTGACCCTATGGCACTCCCTGGCTGGCTGACTCTGCTGTGTATTTCTGTCTCTCTTCCCACTTTGTGTCTCACTTTTTTTTCTTTCTAAACCTTTGCCTCCCATTCCCATCAGCACACCAGGCTCTATTCCTGCCCTTTCTGTGTCTCTGTGATCTTTTCCCTTCCCTTCCCCTTTCTCTTTCCTTTCTTCCTTCCTTTCCCTTTCCCCTTGTTTTTTTTCCCCTTTTAACTTTTCCTTTTTTCCCTTTCTCCCTTCCTTTTCTTTCTTCATTCTCCTTCCTTCCTTTCTTCCCCCCTTTCTTTCCTTCATTCCTTCCTTTCTCTCCTTCTCTGTTTCACTTGCTTGCTTATACTCCAGACCTCACAGCAGGAACTTTACCATCTAAGCCATGTCTCAGCCCTTTTGTTTTGTTTTTCAGATAGAGTTTTGTGTGTGTGTGTGTGTGTGTGTGTGTGTAAGCCTGCCCAGCTCAGCATTCTCCTACTTTTTGCCTCCACAAAGCTGGAACCCCTGGTACATACCATCATATCCAGCTTAGTGATGGATATGGGTTTTTGCTAACTTTATGCTCAGACTGCTATCCTCCTTATCTCTGACTCCAGAGTAGATGGGATTACAGCTGTGAGCCGGTGTGCCTGTCTCTGTGCAATTATCTTTTTGTATCAAACATTAATTTATTGATCTGACACCAGCCAAGGACCTTCATCTCCTTTATATTCTTCACAAGGCTAAAAAATGAGTCTTACCTGCAGGTGTAGACTCTTGAGTCTGTTGTTTGATTGCTTCTTGGCAGCCTGATTCATCATTGTGGTCATGGGTTCCATTTGCTTGCCTTCCATCTGTCTGTTGTGTGTGGTGACCCTCTGTCAGTTCATTTTCCAGGAGAATAGAACCTAAAAAACCATTTGCTTCATAGATATTTTGTTTCCTCCTGGTATTGGCCAGGATCCAAAAGGAAAATGCAAATCACTCAAAGCTCATAAAGCAGAGGGAATTTAATTCAGTTAATGGGAGAGCTGAGGGGCCCAAATGGAAGGACACACCAACCAGGAGATTGGTTAACAGGAAGCTGGGGAGGGCCTGGAGGAGAGTCTAAGGCTGGGGTGGTCACAGGGGGGCAGAAAGTGGAACCAGAGTGGAAGGTGGAGCCATGGGTGGGTGGAGCCGTGGTGGGTGGGTGGAGGCAGCCCCATTGCACCCCTGGAATGATATCGCACAGCAACACACTGGGGCACAGACCGTAGGAAGACAAGTGATCCGAGGACCATATCAGGCTTCTGATAAAAGAGTTTTCACCAAATCCTAGAGGGAAGACATCAGAAGTTCATTTCAGAAAGTTGAGCCTGGGGTTGGCGACTTTCCCTCTTGTCTTCGTTATGAAAGAATCCAAGTATCACTCCACTTCAAAGCCAGTCTGGAGTTGACAGGTTTGTTTGTTTTTGTCCTGGTACTGGGTCTTGAACTTGGGGCCTGGGTGCTCTCCCTGAGCGTCTTTGGCTCAAGGCTAGCACTCTACCACTTGAGCCACAGCATCACTTTCAGCTTTTTTGGTAGTTCATTGGAGATAAAAGTCTCACTGGCTTTTCCTGCCTGGGTTGGTTTTGAACCTCAGACCTCAGATCTCAGCTTCCTGAGTAGCTAGTGTTACAAGAGCAAGCCACTGACACTTGCCTCCCCTGATTCTTAATTATTATTAAATATTTCATTGCTATTATAGAGGTGATGTACAGAGGGGTTACAGTTATTAAGTCAGGTTAAGAGTACATTTCTTTTTAAACCATGTCACCCCTTCCCTCGCTCGCTCCCAGTGTTTCCCTCTGGTCCCCACCCACAAGTTTCTATAATCCATTTTCAACATAGTGTCTAGTAAGTACCACTGCTGCATTTTCTACCTGATTCTTTAAGACAGACTTTAGCTCCAAGAGTGGATGACAGCCAGCCGCACCCCTGGCTTGAAGACCCCACCCCCACCCCGAGCCACCTCTCCAGTGTCCCCTATGAGGGGCTCTAGAACTTGGATGACTTGTCTTGACATCCACGGTCCCAGTAAGCCTACCTTTGTCCCGGGACCTGCCTGTGCAGTGGCCCTGTTTATCCACGGTCCCAGTAAGCCTGCCTTTGTCCCGGGACCTGCCTGTGCAGTGGCCCTGTCTGAGTCTCGCGCAGTCCTGGTGGCCGCGGCAACTTTCACACCTTAGCCTCTCCGCACACATCGGCAGGCTGCAGGTTCTTCCCCTGGGCCTACAACTTTCTGGTTTCATGCTTCCCTGCCTTTTTCCTTGGAACACAGGCTCTGGGGTCAGAATGTCTGGGAGGCTCCTTGGTTCATTTGACCTTAGACAAACTCCACACACGCAATCTCTCTGCCTTCGGTTTCCTCACCCGCATAATGAGACAGTGAGAGCTGTCTGCAATAGGAGCTGGCGTGCGAGATCAACAGCAGCCAGAGCAGACCTCTCCGTGTGCCGCTCCCAGCAAGGTGCCTTGAGTTGTCCTTATTTCCCCCTCCTCCTTCCTGTTTCTCTCTCCAGGCACCCCCAGTCCTCTCCACTCATCTCTACCACTTCCTCCCTGTGCTTCTGTGTATCTGCTTTTCTCCAGGAACATTCCTGCTCTTGAACAACACTCTACACATTTAAGTCTATCCCTGCCAACCAGGTGCTGGTGGCTCACACCTGTAATCCTAGCCACTAAGGAGGCTCAGATCTGAGGATTATGGTGCAAAGCCAGGGAAGTAAAGTCTGAGAGTCTCTTATCTCCATTCAACCACCAAAAAGCCAGAAGTAGAGCTGTGACTCAAGTGGTAGCATAAAAGCTCAAGGACAGCACCCAGGTCCTAAGAACAAGCCCCAGGACCAGCACACACACACACACAAAGAAATCTATCTTTTCCTGTTCTGTCATCAGCTCTGATATGGTGATATACTAAGAAAAAGATATTTTGTTCTCACTTCTTAAAGACTGGTGACCCTGCTGCAGCATGACTGGGATTGGTGAAACCTTCAGGAGGTGGAGCCTAGCGGAAGGAAGTTAGGTCATTGGGGGGGCGTGTCCTTGACAGAGACATTGGAACCCTAGTCCCTTCGCTTTCTTTACTTCTAGCATTAGGTACAAGCTCCTTGGCACAATGTCCTGCCTGGACACAGGCCCAAAGGGGTCAAGCAATCACTCACTGAAACCTCTGAAGCCACAGGGCACAATACATCTGTCCTCTTTCAAGTTGATGTCTCTCAGGGATTTTTATGTTGTTTTTTTTTTTTTAAGACAAGATCAAGCCTTATAATACAGACTGACTTCAAACCCATGACCCTCCTCCCTTAGCCTCCTGAGCATTGAGCTTACAGCTGTGTACCACCATACCCAGCTTCATGTAGTTATTTTGTCATAGCAAGAGAAACCTAACACGGAGCTCATACAAACCCCCATCTTTGCCTTTTCTATGATTCTGCCACATTTCTTCCCCAATTCACACGCTCGGCCAAGGGATTCTGTGTCTCTTTTCAATCTAGTTGAAATTACCTTGTTCCATCCTGAGGTGTCTGTTAGATCTCTCATCCGCCTCTTCCCCATCACCCTCTTGGATATTCAGGCTCTTTTGGATTGCTGAGAGTTGAGGAGAGAGCAAGAAGAAAGAGAAGGAAGAAGAGAAGTGATAAAGAGAGGCTTAATAGTTGAAAAAATGGCACTGGACTTCAAACGGTGGTAATACATCTAATTACCATATACAAAACTTTGGTGAATGAGAGTTAATTCAGGATATTCCTGCATGTTGACCTGGCTGAACAATGCGTCCAGAACTTCCATATCAAATGCCTTCTCCATCTCCAAGAGAACTTTGTATACCACTTTGTGGAGAGGGGTCAGGTTTCTAAAAGAGTCTTGACAATCCTTAAAAAAATTAAATGGAGAAAATTTAATCACAAACTTCCAAGTGACAGAAGACTCCTGAATGTAATTTTACAGTTATGTTTATATGTATATTTCATATATGTAATTGGTGTCATATAAATATATAAATATAAACATATAGATCCATCTTTTTTGTGTGCTAGCACAGGAGTTTGAATTCAAGGCCACTCACACTTGCCTAGTTTAGTTGTTTTATTTTTATTTTTTGGCTTTTTAGCTATGCCTCCACTTCCAGTATTTTGCTGGTTAATTGGGGATAAGAGTTTCAGGAATTTGTCTGCCTGGGTTGGCTTTAAACCATAATCCTCAGATCTCTGCCTCTTGAGTAGCTAGAATTACTGCTGTGAGCTACTGGTATTAGGCTTTAAAAAATTATCTTTAGATATTTGTACAAAGGGGTTTCAATTCAGTATGTCAGTTTATGAGTATAATGTATCCTTCTCCTATGCCAACCACACTCAATTTACTCAAGTTAATCTGCTTCCATTTTTACGCTACTTCTCTCCATTTCTCTGCCCACTTTCCCCTTGACCTCATCCTTTCTCTGACAAAACATGTTTCAGTTTCCTGGTATTCATTTTGTTAAGCAGTTACACCAGTGGAATCCTTCCTGTATATACCAAATGAGCCACAAACTTGTGTGTGTGTGTGTGTGTGTGTATGTGTGTGTGTGTGAGTGTGTGTGTGTGAGTGTGTGTGTGAGTGTGTATGTGTGTGTGTGTCTGTGTCTGTGTGTGTGTATGTGTGTGTGTCTGTGTGTGTGTCTGTGTGTGTATGTGTGTGTGTGAGTGTGTGTGTATGTGTGTGCGTGTGTGTGTGTATGTGTGTGTCTCTGTGTGTGTGTGTGTGTGTGTATGTGTGTGTGCGTGCGTGTGTGTGTATGTGTGTATGTGTGTGTATGTGTGTGTATGTGTGTGTGTGCGTGTGTGTGTGTGTGTGTGTGTGTGTGTGTGTGTGTGTGTGTGTGTGTGTGTATGTGTGTGTGTGCGTGCGTGTGTGTGTATGTGTGTATGTGTGTGTGTGTGTGTGTGTGTGTGTGTGTGTGTATGTGTGTGTGTGTGTGTGTGTGCGTGTGTGTATGTGTGTGTGTGCGTGTGTGTGTGTGTGTGTGTGTGTATGTGTGTGTGTGCGTGTGTGTATGCGTGCGTGTGCATGTGTGTATGTGTGTGTGTGTGTGTGCGTGTGTGTGTGTGTGTGTGTGTGTGTGTGTGTGTGTGTGCATACTGCCCTATATATGTTTTCATATGTATTTATAAATTAGATCTAACTTCTATAGATGAGAGATGACATGTACTTGCTCTCTTGAGCCTGACTTTCTTCATTTAACATATTTTTCCATTCTTGTTTTTTTTTTTTTTTTGGTCCGGTCGTGGGACCTGAACTCTGGGCCTGGGCGCTGTCCCTCAGCTCTTCAGCTCAAGGCTAGCACTCTACCACTTGAGCCACAGCACCACTTCCTGCTTTTTTTCTTTTTGCTTATTTGGTGCTGAGGAATCGAACCCAGGGCCTCAGGCGTGCAAGGCAAGCGCTCTACCACTGAGCCACCTTCCCAGCCCCATAATTTTCCATTCTTTATTTAACATAATTTTCCATTCTTTGCCTTGAAAATGGCACAATGATACCATTATTTCTGATGGATGAGTAAAATTTCACTCTATGTATATATATATAATATTTTCTTGATCCACTGATCCATTGTAGGGCATCTAGGCTGTTTCCATAACTTAGCTATTATGAACAGTGCATCAATGAACATAGGTATATCAAGTGTCTTTACAATATCTTGATCTGTATCTTTTGGGTAACAGTTAATGTATTTCCAATTTCTCTACTTAGACATACTCTCATGTAAAGTTTAAGAATTTATATATTTGTGTAGCTATTGAATAAAACTAGTAACTTTCTCCCCCATAAAAATATCCATTGGTAGCTGGGCACCAGTGGCTCACACCTGCTAGCTACTCAGGAGGCTGAGATCTTAGGATCACAGTTCAAAGCCAGCCCAGGTAGGAAAGTCCATGAGACACTTATCTCCAATTAACCACCAGAAAACTGGAATTGGTGCTGTGGCTCAAGTGGTAGAGCATTTGCCTTGAGCTGAAGAGCTCAGGGACAGCTCCCAGGCCCAGAGTTCAAGCCCCACGACTGACAATAAAATAAAACATTGGTGACACTGTTCTTCTCACCCTCATTTATGTTCTATGTAAGATGGAGTAAGTATGAAGGAGAAAGAGGGATTAAAAGTTAATTGAGGGCTGGGAAGGTGGCTCAGTGGTAGAGTGCTTGCTTAGCATGCATGAGGCCCTGGGTTAATTCCTCAGCACCACATAAACAGAAAAAGCCGGAAGTGATGTTCAGGTGGTAGAGCGCTAGTCTTGAGCTGAAGATCTCCCGGGACAGTGCCCAGGCCCAGAGTTCAAGCCCCACGACCAACAAAAAAAAAAGAAAGAAAGAAAAAGTTAATTGACGGGTAGCCAAAGTCAAAATACTTTGCGAGTAGGCTTAGCAGGTGATGAGGGCTGTCTTTTTAGCTGGACAACTCCTGGCCTTCTCTCAATACTGATTTGGCCTGAAGAAAATCAGGTGACCATTCCCTCTGGCTGAGAACGTGGCCATGAGAAAGTATATTCATGGGGTTAAAGCATAACTCACTACACTGAACCTCCCACTGAGCCTATGGGTAAAGTTCCCCCAAATTCTACTATAGCAGAAATGGAGAGCTGCAAAAGAAAGATGTAAAGATGCTACAGAAAGAACAGCAAGCATCTACTCTCAAATGTGTCCTGACAGGATACCCTGTATGTTTTAATGTTCTCAGATTCAGGATTTTAAGATTGACATTAAATAAAATTAACATGCTGTGTTAATTGTGATTTCATTATATCAGTTCAGTAAAATAATTTACCAGCTCATTAAGAATCTGTTTAATTTGTAGCGTAGTTTATGTTAATGCGCATTATGTACAAGACCTTGCACCTCTACGGAGTGGCCCCACTTCTGATCTGGCCTGTGTCACTGCTGCTCACCCTGACTCTGGAGGGGGCCACAGCACACGTGCCTTGAGGGACAGGCAGGACCATCTGTGTGGCTCTCTGCAGTCCGTCTTCCCTCTCACGTCCAGGAGCAAAGGTACCACCCACAGCAGACATGAGAATCCTCTAGTTAGACCTTGAACTTTGGTTCCAGGAGATGAAGGTATAGCTTCATTTTGGGTTTACTTCCCAGATTATAATGTAGGAAATGTCACTTACTTCATACATTTCGTTGGTGATGTGTTCACGGTCACGGAGACCCTCAAGAAATGGAAATGGCTTTATTATTGCCTTTGAAATCTCCACTTTAAACTTTTTGTAATGTTTGAATAAAATGTCCTTGATCTCCTTTTTGGTGACGGTTCTGAGGGAAAAGAACACCAGGGAAAATGCTCATCAACATCGTGAGATGTTTGTGGTGACTGCTAAGATTTTACAAACGAAAGGGGGGCTATGAAGAACCAACACATGAAAACAGGTCTGAATAGAGTTACCTAAATAGAGGGACCTGAAGCAATAACAAAAACATAATAGAAGAAAGCAGGGAAGTTATAAAAGATATATATTATTTAAGTAGAGTAAATATTTGGGAATATATACTATATATATATAATAGAGTATAAATACGTAATATAGTTAGAATATATATAATAGAGTGTATATAAAGGATATATTATATAGATATATATCTTACATAAGTAGAGTATTTGATACTATAGGTTATATATTTCATTTTTTTAAAAAAATTTTTTTTGGGTCCGGTCGTGGGCCTGAACTCTGGGCCTGGACGATGTCCCTCAGCTCTTCAGCTCAAGGCTAGCACTCTACCACTTGAGCCACAGCACTACTTCTGGCTTTTCTTTTTCTGCTTATGTGGTGCTGAGGAATCGAACCCAGGGCCTCATGCATGCAAGGCAAACGCTCTACCACTGAGCCACCTTCCCAGCCCTATATATTTCATATATTTAATATATAGTGGATATACTGTATTTTATTGTATACATATTACATAGTATATAATATGTAATATAATAGGGCTGGGAAGGTGGCTCAGTGGTAGAGCACTTGCCTTGCATGCTCGAGGCCCTGGGTTCGATTCCTCAGCACCACATAAGAAAAAAGCCAGAAGTGGCACTGTGGCTCAAGTGGTAGAGTGCTAGCCTTGAGCTGAAGAGCTGAGGGAAAGTGCCCAGGCCCAGAGTTCAGGCCCTACGACCAGATCCCCCCCCCAAATGTAATATAATATTATATAG